GACTTGAGGCAGGGGAGAAAAGGAGATGAGCTGGAATGTGCCATGTACTCCAGGACCCCATGTGGGAATTTCATCTAGAAGCATCGATTCTGGCTGCAGGTGACTTACCTCTCATGTAGTTATGGGTTACCAGATCAAATGAGAGCCAGCCCTGAGCAGAAGCATGGACTCAGGCTGTAAGTCAACAACCTAGAGTTGATTGGGTTCAGGAAGCAAGCAAGGGAAAGTGTGTGTGTGTGTGTGTGTGTGTGTGTGTGTGTGTGTGTGTGTTGTGTGTGTGTGTGTGTGTGTGCGTGCACGTGGGCTTGTGCCAGTCCTGGGGCTTGAACTCAGGACCTGGGCAGCACTGTCCCTGAACTTTTGAGCCACAGCTCCACTTTCAGCTATTGTTTTTTCTTTTTTCTTTCAGTAGTTTAGTGAAGATAAGAGTTTCATGGGCTTTCCTGCCCCGGCTGGCTTCAAATTGTGATCCTCAGATCTCAGCCCCCTGAGTAGCTGGATAATAGATGTGAGCCACTGGTGCCCAGCCAGAATTCATATAATTTTGGTCGGTGTTAAATGGTTTAAAGTGATCAGGATCAGCAAGATCTGTTAGATTTCCTGGATCCAGTCAGAATTCATCCTGCTACAGGCGCCTCCCCTTGAAACCTATCTGGTGGGTGAGGAATTAGCTTGTCCCAGTGGGGCCAGCAGAATCTGTGGGCACTGGCTGCTGTCTGTCTGCTTTCCCGTTCACAGTTGCTCCTCACTCCTTTTGGTCAAATCCTTTGGGCTTCCCTTCACCTCCCTCTCATCTATCCTGTTGCTCTTTTCTGCTCCCCTGGCTCCCCTTACCCATCTCTGGTGCCCAGCAAGGGGGCAGGGACTCATATTCTACCACCACCCTCAGTACCCCACAGACTCAGCCCGCAGACTCGCCCCAAAGGCACGTCCTGAGGGCCACTTACCGCATAAGTCCCTGGAACTCACCCAGGTTCAAGGTCACCCTGCCCTCTTAGTAAAGGGGATGGGGTTCTCAAGGTCACTTCCCTGGCTCCACACCTGTATTTGGATTTCCAGTGCTTAGTCCAGATTAGGAATCAAGAAATGGGGGCCCGGTAACTTCCCACCACCAATTAGTGGATTGATTAGGGTCTGGCCATCTTTGGGACATGAAGTTCTCAGAGCTGCAGGACCTATTTCGATTGCCTGTCTAGCACGCTTTTATTAAATTTGAACAATATACTGCCCTGGTTAGGACAAAAGCTCTGCCAGGTTGCTGGACCCTGGGGGGGGGGGGGATAGGATTCTCTTCCCTCCTGCAGGCATTGAGGCTGTGTGAGTCTGTATGAATGTGTGTGTGTGTGCCTGTGACTGTGTGCATGTATGGCTGTGTGTGTGACTGTGTATGGCTGCGTGTGTGACTGTGTGTACATATGGCTGTGTATGTCTGCGTGTGACTGTGTGCATGTGACTTTGTGCGTGTATAGCTGTGTGTGTCTGCGTGTGACTGTGTGTGTGTATGGCTGTGTGTGTCTGTGTGTGACTGTGTGCGTGTATGGCTGTGTGTGTCTGCGTGTGACTGTGTGCGTGTATGGCTGTGTGTGTGTCTGCGTGTGACTGTGTGTGTGTATGGCTGTGTGTGTGTCTGCGTGTGACTGTGTGTGTGTATGGCTCTGTGTGTGTCTGTGTGTGACTGTGTGCGTGTATGGCTGTGTGTGTCTGTGTGTGACTGTGTGCGTGTATGGCTGTGTCTGCGTGTGACGGTGTGCGTGTATGGCTGTGTCTGTGTGTGACTGTGTGCGTGTATGGCTCTGTGTGTGTCTGCGTGTGACTGTGTGCGTGTATGGCTCTGTGTGTGTCTGCGTGTGACTGTGTGCGTGTATGGCTCTGTGTGTCTGCGTGTGACTGTGTGTGTGTATGGCTGTGTGTGTCTGCGTGTGACTGTGTGCGTGTATGGCTGTGTGTGTGTCTGCGTGTGACTGTGTGCGTGTATGGCTGTGTGTGTGTCTGCGTGTGACTGTGTGTGTGTATGGCTGTGTGTGTCTGCGTGTGACTGTGTGTGTGTATGGCTGTGTGTGTCTGCGTGTGACTGTGTGTGTGTATGGCTGTGTGTGTGTCTGCGTGTGACTGTGTGTGTGTATGGCTCTGTGTGTCTGCGTGTGACTGTGTGCGTGTATGGCTCTGTGTGTGTCTGCGTGTGACTGTGTGCGTGTATGGCTCTGTGTGTGTCTGCGTGTGACTGTGTGCGTGTATGGCTTTGTCTGCGTGTGACTGTGTGCGTGTATGGCTCTGTGTGTGTCTGTGTGTGACTATGGGCGTGTATGGCTGTGTGTGTCTGCGTGTGACTGTGCATGTATGGCTCTGTGTGTGTCTGTGTGTGACTGTGTGCGTGTATGGCTGTGTATGTCTGCGTGTGACTGTGTGCATGTGACTTTGTGCGTGTATGGCTGTGTGTCTGTGTGTGACTGTGTGTGTGTATGGCTCTGTGTGTGTCTGTGTGTGACTGTGTGCGTGTATGGCTGTGTGTGTCTGTGTGTGACTGTGTGCGTGTATGGCTGTGTCTGCGTGTGACTGTGTGTGTGTATGGCTCTGTGTGTGTCTGCGTGTGACTGTGTGCATGTGTGGCTGTGTGTGTCTGCGTGTGACTGTGTGCGTGTGTGGCTGTGTGTGTCTGCGTGTGACTGTGTGCGTGTATGGCTCTGTGTGTGTCTGCGTGTGACTGTGTGTGTGTATGGCTGTGTGTGTCTGCGTGTGACTGTGTGTGTGTATGGCTGTGTGTGTCTGTGTGTGACTGTGTGCGTGTATACCTGTGTGTGTCTGCGTGTGACTGTGTGTGTGTATGGCTGTGTGTGTCTGCGTGTGACTGTGTGCGTGTATGGCTGTGTGTGTCTGCGTGTGACTGTGTGCGTGTATGGCTCTGTGTGTGTCTGCGTGTGACTGTGTGTGTGTATGGCTCTGTGTGTGTCTGCGTGTGACTGTGTGCGTGTATGGCTGTGTCTGTGTGTGACTGTGTGTGTGTATGGCTCTGTGTGTGTCTGTGTGTGACTGTGTGTGTGTATGGCTGTGTGTGTGTCTGCATGTGACTGTGTGCGTGTATGGCTGTGTGTGTCTGTGTGTGACTGTGTGTGTGTATGGCTCTGTGTGTGTCTGTGTGTGACTGTGTGTGTGTATGGCTGTGTGTGTCTGCGTGTGACTGTGTGCGTGTATGGCTCTGTGTGTGTCTGCGTGTGACTGTGTGCGTGTATGGCTGTGTGTGTCTGTGTGTGACTGTGTGCGTGTATGGCTCTGTGTGTGTCTGCGTGTGACTGTGCGCGTGTATGGCTGTGTGTGTCTGCGTGTGACTGTGTGCGTGTATGGCTCTGTGTGTGTCTGCGTGTGACTGTGTGCGTGTATGGCTCTGTGTGTGTCTGCGTGTGACTGTGTGCGTGTATGGCTGTGTGTGTCTGCGTGTGACTGTGTGCGTGTATGGCTGTGTGTGTGTCTGCGTGTGACTGTGTGTGTGTATGGCTGTGTGTGTCTGCGTGTGACTGTGTGTGTGTATGGCTCTGTGTGTGTCTGCGTGTGACTGTGCGTGTATGGCTGTGTGTGTCTGCGTGTGACTGTGTGTGTGTATGGCTCTGTGTGTGTCTGCGTGTGACTGTGCATGTATGGCTGTGTGTGTCTGCGTGTGACTGTGTGCGTGTATGGCTCTGTGTGTGTCTGCGTGTGACTGTGTGCGTGTATGGCTCTGTGTGTGTCTGCGTGTGACTGTGTGTGTGTATGGCTCTGTGTGTGTCTGCGTGTGACTGTGCATGTATGGCTGTGTGTGTCTGCGTGTGACTGTGTGCGTGTATGGCTCTGTGTGTGTCTGCGTGTGACTGTGTGTGTGTATGGCTCTGTGTGTGTCTGCGTGTGACTGTGCATGTATGGCTGTGTGTGTCTGCGTGTGACTGTGTGCGTGTATGGCTCTGTGTGTGTCTGCGTGTGACTGTGTGTGTGTATGGCTCTGTGTGTGTCTGCGTGTGACTGTGCATGTATGGCTGTGTGTGTCTGCGTGTGACTGTGTGCGTGTATGGCTCTGTGTGTGTCTGCGTGTGACTGTGTGTGTGTATGGCTCTGTGTGTGTCTGCGTGTGACTGTGTGCGTGTATGGCTCTGTGTGTGTCTGCGTGTGACTGTGTGCGTGTATGGCTCTGTGTGTGTCTGCGTGTGACTGTGTGTGTGTATGGCTCTGTGTGTGTCTGCGTGTGACTGTGTGCGTGTATGGCTCTGTGTGTGTCTGCGTGTGACTGTGCATGTATGGCTGTGTGTGTCTGCGTGTGACTGTGTGCGTGTATGGCTCTGTGTGTGTCTGCGTGTGACTGTGTGCGTGTATGGCTCTGTGTGTGTCTGCGTGTGACTGTGTGCGTGTATGGCTCTGTGTGTGTCTGCGTGTGACTGTGTGCGTGTATGGCTCTGTGTGTGTCTGCGTGTGACTGTGCATGTATGGCTGTGTGTGTCTGCGTGTGACTGTGTGCGTGTATGGCTCTGTGTGTGTCTGCGTGTGACTGTGTGCGTGTATGGCTGTGTGTGTCTGCGTGTGACTGTGTGCGTGTATGGCTCTGTGTGTGTCTGCGTGTGACTGTGTGCGTGTATGGCTCTGTGTGTGTCTGCGTGTGACTGTGCGTGTATATGACTGGGTGTGTGGCTGCGTGATTGTAGAGTTTGTGGGTGCAGGGCCCCTTCCCCCTGCTCCCATGCTGGCCCTCCTGCACCCGAGTTCCCGCCCCGTCTCAGGGCCGCACGGGGCCTGTGGTTCCCGCGGCGCCCGCCAGGGGGCGGCGGCGCGGCGCGGTGCCCGCGGGGGCCGCGCGGGGCGGGGAGCCGAGCGGGAGCGGGGCGGGACGGGGGACCGGAGGACCGGGGAGGGCGGGAGGAGGGCGGGGGGGGGGGGAGCCGCAGGACCCGAGCGGACCCGCTCTTCTCTCGGAACGGGCCGGGAGCCGTGGCCGGCGCCAGCCCGACGCGGACCGGGCGCGGCGGCGCCGTCCATGCGGCGGCTCGGGGCCGGCGGGACGCGGGCGCCAGGTGAGCGCGGGAACGCGGGGGGGGGGGGGGGTCGGGACCGGGGACCGGGGACCCGGGCGGGCCCGCGCCCCCTCCTCCCTCCCCGCCCCGGCGTCCTCGGCGCCGCTCCGCCGACCCGGGCTTGGGGTCCCGGGCGGGCCCGGGGTCCGGAGTCCTGCAGCCCCGCGCGGCCCCGGGACCCCGGCCCCCGGGACCCCCGCCCGACCCCCGATCCGACCCTCTCCTCCCCCCTTCCCCAGAGGCGCGTGCGGTGAGCGGCTCAGGTTTGAACCCCGCGCCGCCGCCGCTCCACGTTGTCACCGCTCGGCCCGCGGGAATCCGAGGCGCGGGGCCGGGGCCGGCGGGGCCGGCGGGGCCTCCACACCCGGCTGAGGTCCGGGGATGGCGGGGAAATTCACGAGCTCCTTCTCACTAATGAATCGCACACACGCACACACGCGCGCGCACACACGCATGCACACGCACACATGCATGCACACACACACATGCACACACGCATGCACACATGCATGCACAGAGCCAAGCCTTCTTGAGTGGAACAGGCTCTAAGCTCCAGCACCCAGACCCCAGCATGAGTTCCAGCCCTGGGACCCGCACACGCGTGAAAGGATTCGGACACACTCGTATGCACTCGCATGCACACTTGCCTGGACTTGGGCTGGCACCGTGGTGGAATTCCTTCGGAAACCCAGACGCTTAGCCATGCAATCAGTTCGAGGACAGGAGTGTGTGTGTGTGTGTGTGTGTGTGTGTGTGTGTGTGTGTGTGTGTGTGTGTGGAGGGGGAGCAGGGAGTTAGATCCCTAGGCACCAGGCTGGGCCGGGGTGTGCAGCCTGCTCTCCTGGCCCGACCCTGGGCTGGGCTGGGCACCTGGCCTCTGCGCTCTTCAGTCTCCTGGCTGCTGGCTGGGGCTGTTGGGGGGGGGGGGTTCCTGTTGATTCTGCCTAGAAAGGCTTGTTGTGGCTGAGGAGCCTGGCACTGCCCTCCCCTCTGCCCTCCATGTTCCGGTGCCCCCACCCCAAGCCCCTCTCCCGTCCCCTATGTTTATTTATTCTATCTCTCCATCCATCCCAGAGCCCCCTCCACATTCCTCTGCAATCTGCGGCAGTGATTTCCTCCCTGCCCCACCTTTAACCGTGTCCAGACTCCAGTCATCATCTCCTCTCTTGAATCCCAGCCACAGGCTGCTGTGTTCATTTTCATCCATCTTCTTCCATGCTGACAGATTAATATTCCTGAAACGCTGATTTCACCAGCTTCGTTCCTTGCAAGAGATCACGATGGTCACTCCGTACACACTTCCTTCCCGTGTGTATCCAGCAGATATTCCTGTGCAGCTGCTGCGTGAAAGTGGCTCTAGTGCTATGTGCCAGGGGCTCTATCACTGTGGGCCAAGGGCTCTATCATCACCTGCATGCTGGGGGCTCTAGCACTGTGTACCAAGGACTTCTATCATCACTGTATGCCAGGGGTTCTATCATTGGTTAGGGGTTCTATCGCCGTGGGCTAGGGGCTCTATCACCACTTAGGGATTCTAGCTGGGGGTTCTGTTGCTGTGAGCCAAGGGCTTTATCACTATGCCACAGGCTCTATCATTGCTTTTTGCCTGGGGCTCTATCATTGGGTGCTGCGAGCTCTAGCTCTATGGGTGGTGGGCTCTATTGCTGTATGCCAAGGACTGCATCTTTTTGTGTGCTGGAGACTCCACTTCTGTGTGCCAGGGGCTCTATCATTGCTATGTGCCATGTGCCAGGGGCTCTATCATTGCTGTTTGCTGGAGGCTCCATTGCTGTGTGCCAAGGGGCTCTAGCACTTGGGCTGTGGGTTCTATTGCTGTGTACCATGGGCTCTATCATTGCTGCATGCCAGGGGCTCTAGCATTGCTCTGTGCCAGGGACTCGTGTTGTTTGTGGAGGCTCTATCATTGGGTCCCAAGGGCTCTATCACTGCGGAGTGCTGGGGGTTCTAGGGCGATGTGCTGTGCGGCTTTAGCAGTATGGGCTGTAGCTTGTAGCACTGTGGTCTGGGGCTTACCCCAGAGCAAGGCAGAGCTGGAGGGCTCCAGGAGCTGGCAGGCTAGTGTATGATAACCCCCCAAGGGAGACACAAGGCAGCAAGGTGTGTGTGTGTGTGTGTGTGTGTGTGTGTGTGTAACATCAAGAAAACACAAACAAGAAAGTGATCTCATGGCAGGAAGGGGACAGGTAGAGCTGGGTTTTGCAGTCCAAGGAGGAGTTCAGGGAGAAGACTAGGCCTGGCAGTGTGGTTGAATAAGACTGGCCTTCACCCTGGTCTTTAAGATGCCCTCTACTTCAAGTTGGCTTTATGGGAGCAGAGTTCACATTTCTTCTTAGAACTTCCCATCTCCACTCCCCTCCCTCCTTCCCGTCCCCCTTCATGAGCAGTGCAGCCTCAGCCCGCCTCACCCCTGCCCAAGCCCGCATTCTGGTGACCCCCTCCCCGCAGCAATGCGATGTTGCACAGTGCCTGAGAAGCAGCATTTCAGATCCGCCTAAGATGCTCCCTCTGCATATCCAGGCCTGGAAACCACAGCCTCTGGTGGCTAGGCTGCTGACTGAAGCCAACACAGCTCTTGCTTGCTTGCTTACGTGCTTGTTTGCTTGATTTCATCAGTCTCAATAGGTAACCCAGACTGGCCCTGAACGTGTGATCTTCCAGCCTCCGCCTTTCAGAATGCTGGGATTAGAGGTTCACTGCCCCACTGGGATAAATCTGCAGCTTTAACAGGGGCCTTAACCTCGACTGTAAAGGCTAAGCAGTGATAATTCTGCCGGAGGCCACGAGGGCCCTCTCCCCCTTTTTCCTGGTCAAAAGAGCCTTTCTTGGAAGGGTCCTAAAAGCAAAACTGTGCCTCCTCTCCCCCCACCCTGCAGGCCTCTGAGCCTCCTCAATCTTACCGGGCATTTCTGTTAAGGTTCAGACTCATTCGAAGGGAGAAAGATTAGGGGGTGTTGGTTGGAGAGACCCAAGTTACCAGTGGGTTAGGGAGGGTTTGAAAAGTGGGCTGGAGCACCCCACTTTAGGGCCCAGTGGGGTGTGGCCATCGGCAGATTCACCATTCATCAGTTCTTCCTTGGTTTCCCCCTGTATAACCCGGGGGGTAGCCAGCACCTGGAGGGCTGCTGGGGTGTTCCAGCTGAGCGGGTACTCAGCACCAGGCCTAATTTCTCATCTGTTCTGTGGCTGATCTGCCCTGGTAGACCGTTAGTGCGTACTGTGTATTACCAGGAATAGGTAACAGCCCCCTCAGATTGGGGGCTGTGGCTGAGGGGCTGAGTGTTAGTACCCCATATTCAGTACATGGACACGCCCAGCTGTGCCATCTTAAGGGTCCAGCCAGCGTTCCTCTTCCCTCTCTGCTTTCCAGTCCCTGCTTTGGATCTCCAAATTGGGGAACCCAGGTCACAGGTGGGCGGCCCTTTCCCTCAGTCTTCCTGCCAGGGTGGTGGCTCTGTGGATCTCTTGCTCTTTTTCCAGAACCGTCTTCTCCCAGAGCTCTTCTGGGGCGGTGTTTCCTGAGCCCCGCTCCGGGCTCGTGCCCCCGCATGCATCGTGTTCCGGAAGGGTGGCATAGGGAGCCCCACGGCCCACCCCGCGGGCAGCGTGGAGCTTGCCCCACCCGGCCGGCCGCTTGGCCGACTGCCCGGAGGCCTGGCCAGCGGGGAGGACCAAAGTGCTGAGTGATTAATGGGCACCTCATCTCATCTCCTGCCAGGGGAAATGAAGGGCCGGCTGGGGCTCAGGTGGGCTGGGAATGGGCCTAGCTCAAGCAGGGGATTAAGGCTGGAAAGATAAGAGGAAATGAGACCTCAACCTTGTGGGCTACAGTGGGGGGGGGAGGGAACCCCGGCAGAGGAAGGGCATGGGCCTTTGATTTATGTCAGGGAGCGGCGTGTGGTCGCTGGGGGCGAAGGTAGCCTGGCCTTGGTCTCTGGGACCATTTTTTCTCTTGGGGGTCCAGTCAGGGGAGAGATTTCCCAGGATGCTGACCCAGTGGACAGCAGGGAAGCCAGGCTACCTACGTCCCTGTCAGAAGCCTTTGATCATGTGGCTTCCAGTCAGCAGGCGATCAGCAGAAGGCCTGGTCCCTGTGAAGCATGTCTTAGTGGACACACTGGCCATCCCTTCCCGTGGCAGGCTGGCCCTGTCCCCAGGCTGGGTAACAGCTTAGTGATACACAGTTCAAGCCTGGATCCCAGCAGACCCTGTCCCCGTCTCTGGGGAGAGACATGAGAATGTCTGATGTCTTCACTTTTCCATGTCTGTCTGGGTGGACAGGAGGAAGATGGGACAATGTGTGTGTGATCTCTGCGGCTCTTCCTCTTCCTCTCCCTCCTCCTCTTCACCCCTTCCTTCCTTTTCCTCCTCCCCCCAGGGTCTAAGCCTTGCTTTGTGTGTGGATCCACCACTCTTTGATTGCTCTAACTCCTTTGACCCTTGGCCCTACATGTCTTGAATCCCGGGTGACCTGCAGCTGCCCTCTGACCCTGCCTGTGCCTTCCTCCTCCAAGTCAGCTGGGCAGACTGCTGGAAGGCTGGCATGATGGCATCTGCACCAGCTGAGAGTTCTCTGCTGGCGTTTCCCACACCCGGGCCCTTAGCTCAGGAGCCGTGGGTGGTCTCTCCAGGATGTGGGGTACAGATCCCCATACTTCCTGCTTCATCTAAGCCTACCATACCCCTCAACCCACCCTCCCGGGAGACTGGGGGGGAGGGAGCTATTGCTGGTTCTAAGCCCTCGGGCACAGCTGTGGGGGGAGTTCACTGGCATTAACACTTTTCACCACACACAGCCGCCAGCCACAGGGTACCCAGGCCTGGGTCACTTTCTAGTATCGGATGCCTAGGATTTTATTCTACTTGATGTGCAGAGAGTTGGGGGGGGGGGATGGTGTTGGGGGGAGAAGGAGCTTCTGGTCACCCTGCTTCAACACTTCCTGACTTTTCATCCCCCCATGTTAAGCAGAAGGACGATTTCC